GGGGTGGCTGCGGTTGTCCCGGGAGCAGGTGGAGGAGGCGAGCGCGGCCGGGGAGAGGGGCTTCCACCGCATAAACATTTACGAAGTGATGAAGCCGCTGTCGGAGCGCGCGCAGGCCATTACGCGCCTCTTGGACACGCGGCTGGTGCACCACAACGTGACGCGCTGGGAGACGTTCGACGTGAGCCCGGCCGAGATCCGGTGGACCAAGGACAAGCAGCCGAACCACGGGCTGGTGATCGAGGTGACCCACCTCCACCACGCACAGACTCATCAGGGCAAACACGTCAGGATTAGCCGATCTTTACCTCAAGGGCGCGGGGACTGGGCTCAGCTCCGGCCGCTCCTGGTCACTTTCGGGCACGACGGGCGAGGCCACGCGCTGACGCGCCGAGCGCGCCGGAGCCCCAAGCACCAGCGTTCGCGCAAGAACAAAAAAAACTGCCGCCGCCACGCGCTCTATGTGGATTTCAGCGACGTGGGCTGGAACGACTGGATCGTGGCGCCGCCGGGCTACCAGGCGTTTTACTGCCACGGCGACTGCCCCTTCCCCCTGGCCGACCACCTCAACTCCACCAACCACGCCATCGTGCAGACGCTCGTCAACTCCGTCAACGCCAGCATCCCCAAGGCGTGCTGCGTGCCCACGGAGCTCAGCGCCATCTCCATGCTCTACCTGGATGAGTATGACAAGGTGGTCCTCAAAAACTACCAGGAGATGGTGGTGGAGGGGTGCGGGTGCCGCTGACCCCCTTCCCGCCGCCCTCTCCCCCCTTCCCTCCCTTTCCCACCCCCTTGCCCCCGAACCGCTTGCTATAGCTGGACTCTTCTCTAAACTAAACGTTCACCTTGACCTTATTTATGACTTTATGTGCAAATGTTTTTTTTTTTGACAATAATGATCATATATTTTGACAAAATATATTTATAACTACATATTAAAAGGAAAAAAATAAAATGAGTCATTATTTTAAAGGTAAGCGCTTTTGATGTCTCACCTCTCTGCAGAGCTGCCGAGGCTGCATCCGCAGCCAGGAGCACCTGGGAACGTGTTCCCCCTCCTCCTCCTCCTCTTCCCCTGCCTCCGCTTTCCCTCCCCTCTTTATTTTTCCCCCCTTTTCTCCCCAAAAGCCTTCACAATTGTGAGTGTGTCTGTTTCTTGCCGAGGTTCCGGGACCCTGCGCGCCCGGGTTGCGCCACGCGGGAGACGAGGCTCCCGGGACACTTAATGCAGCTTCTCCCCGCGCCAGGACCGGAGCCGCCCTCGCTCGCCCAGCCCGGGCGCTTGCAAAGCACCCACCAAAAAATGCATTTGAAAAGAAGGCGAAGATTCACCCGAGGGCTTTGCGCTAAACCCGCGGGGTTTATACCCTCCGTCCAGCTTCAGGATTCCCCAGGTTTTAAAACTGTTAACATTTTCTCCCCCCTGCTCCCTCTTTCCACCCCCTCCAAGGGGAGGTGGGCTCCTCTGGGAAGCTTCAAAGGTTTGCATGGCTCCTTTGAAGATCAAATCGCCCCATTACAATGCCAAAAAAAAAAAAAGATATCTGCAATAGTTAAGTACGTGTTAGCTAATAGCTACCTGCGCCGGGGCCTTCCCAAATTGCTTCCGAGCAGGAGGCTGAGCAGAGCTAAGCAGGTACAGCCGAAGGTGGCCCACGTTCCTTGGCTCCGATGCCATGGCCTGAACCCCTTCCCTTTGGGAAATGGGGAGCTGGGCAGCCCCATGGGAAGGGAGGGCAGCCCCAGCAGAGGCCGCATGTTTTTTTTGCTTTGCTCTGCTCTCCAGTGCTCTGAAAAGGGCAGCTGGGTAAA